TTTGAAGCTATTGAGAAACCCACCAATTGTTGCCTCTTTAGAACAAAGCATTGCCCTATCTCCCAGGAAATTGTAAGGAATTAAGAAGCTCTGTGCCATGGTCAGAGACCCACACCAAACAACATACATGTACCCGTTACATCTGCTGCATATGGAGATATAAATGACATTGTGTCGTTTATAAGCTACATAGATAAAAATGTGTTTTTCTGAGGTTCTGATATTAATGAAACTACCACCTGATTTTCAACAGATACCAAGAGTACACATTGGAGAAGATATGACTCCTTCAAAAAATGCTGAAAACTGGATGTTCTTGTGTTAAAGATCCCTTTGTCTCACCTAATATAAAAATTACTTTCAAAATGGATCAAAGACCTTAACCCCTAGGGGAAACACTTGAAAGTAGAGGCAAGGTTTTTCTGAAAAGGACTGCAGTGTCACGGGGAAACAGCAAGAATTGAGAAATTGAATGACAGGAAATGAAAAGCTGCACAGAAAAGAAGACAATGAAGAGGCATAAAATGCCATCATGAAGCCCCTTCCTGCACGTGCCGATGTTACGTTTGGTTAAGTCAGAATTGGCAAAGTGGAAGGAAAGATGTTTTAAGTTCATAATATTTTTTATGATTTTCTGAACCCTAGTCATTAAAATGACAACAGCTGCATGGTGGTACACACCTTTAATCTCAGCATGCAGATGGCAGAGGCATATGGATCTATGGGTTCCAGGACTGCCTGATCTCCCTAGAGATCTCCATCTCAAAAAACAAAAAAAAAGGGGGGGGATTAAGTCAGCAAAGTTTACTTTGGAGTATCCACATTACTGTGATTGTTCAGTTTTCCCACCAGTGTTACTATTTTTAAGCCTTTGTTCCAGACACAAGGAGCGACAGTACTTACCCATTGCTAGTCACTCGCCATCACTTTCATTATACAGCTCTGCCCAACCCAAAACACAGAACTATGAGCATCCAATCAAGAGAAATTAACTCACCTAGTTGTTTTCCTTGTGATCCATAACTGACTTTTTAATGGCTTTTAAGTAAAGATAAGAAATTAAAGTTTCATGGAAAATTCCGGATGTTAAAGAATACATTAGCATGTCACCAGAAATTCAAGAAGCAAAGATTAAAAGCCTGAGTTGTAATGTGCTCACCCATAACTCCTGGGCAAATTGCCTAACATCCTTACATTTTGCTATGTGAAAATGGGACATAAAAATATGACTGATTATGAGTTGTAAAAATGTTGTTCCATGGCATATATAGATTGGGAAATGATCTAATATTCAGCAAATAATAGTTAAAAAGGCAATATGTAAAAACGGCAAAATGTAAAAGACTGCATATAATCTTAAATTTAAATAGAGAAACAACAATAACTAATGAGACATCCGGAAAGGTCAACACAAGTAACACCCCCTAAAAATAGTCATTAAGTGAAAATTTGCTAGCATTATATTTTCTATTGGTACATAAAAATCAAGTAGGAAAGTGAAGTGTATTCTTGAATGACTGTCAGCTAGTAATCATGCTATTTTGCTACTGTAGTATCTTAATATATGTATTAAGCCAATCTTCAGATGAGATGGCATCTCATCCACAGTTACTAAAAGGGTTTTAAAAGACCTATCATTATGGAGGGGAAGGTGTACTTGTGTGGTGAATGGTGTATGTGCACTTTCATCTTTGGGCTTTGTGTGTGTGTGTGTGTATGCAAGCTCAGAGGCCAGACAAGGATGTCAAATGGCCTCTACCCTCTCCCTTATTCTTTTAAGGCAGGGTCTCACTGAACCTGGAGCTCACCATCTTTGAACTAGGCTCTCTGGTCGTGAGCCCCAGTACAGGGACTACAGGTTTTCACATCTGGCCACACCAGAGGGTTTTATGTAGGAAGGCAGTAGGGGATTGGAGTTCAGTTACTCAAGCTTGCACGACAAGCACTCTTACTGAGCTCATTTCCCATCCCCAAAACGCCTATCCAGTTTGAAAGACACTGCAGTTACAGAGTATTTTCAGTATACTCAAATAACTTTATATCTTCAATATGATAGCTTCATATGAAGTAAAACCTGAAGCCATGACTAAGGTGTTTTAAAAGCACTGCCTAGAATAGAATTAATCACTATATTTCACAGAATAACTTTTAACCAGTGTATTTCACAAAACACTATACTGGTAAAGGAGTAGTTTCTATTAACTTCAGTGTTAACAAATTTTGCTGTAGCTACCACTGTTGACTGGCAAAGATGGTCCTTAAGAAACATCCTCAAACATTTTCTTTTTAATAAAGCAGCCTACAGCTGGGATATGGTTCTTTGTAAGCATACATGTGCTAGTCTATTTTCTGTTGCTGTGACAAAAAGGCCTTGGATGTGAGTAATGTTTAAATGAAGTTTATTCAGCTCACAATTCTGTGTCCAAGAGCATTGCAGATCGCATCATGGTAGTGTAGAGGGCAGCGTTCCCGTGACCTCAACAGCCTTCCAGTATGCTCCACTTCCAAGGGATCTACTGACTCCCAACAACACCATATGGAGAATGAGTTTTCCAGCACATGAACCCTTGCAGGGGGATCATCAAGCACAAGCTTGGCAGCTGTTTCTGATGTCTGGTAACCATAGTAGAGATCATAAGACATAGGACTACCAAACCTGAGGACCTAATAGACAGCCACATGGTGAAATCTTGCTTCCTGCTAAAAGCAAAAACTTGAAGAACAAACGGGCCTCCTTAGCTACAGTGTGGTACAGAGGAGAGATTGGTTCTGTTTTACAGTAGACAAATAGCATGCATATTACACTCTAACATGAAGAACTTGGGAATATATGGTTCCTTCTAGAAACAGCTTACACTAGAGAAGGGAAAGAAAGGACTCAAACTGAGTTCCTCAGTCCCTCAGTACATTGGTTCATAAGTTACTGGTTTAGTCTTGCAAAGCTGTTTAATATTAATATATAAGTGTGTTCCTTAGTGTATTAGCTTTTTATTGAAATTTCAGTTAATCAAAACGGTAAACTATCTGTATTTGACGAAGACACTATATGGAAAGGTTTAATTCTGGGTTCCTGTACATGGAGATTAAGGATTTTCTATGGTTAATTAATAGTATGGGGTACAAAATGTATAACAAGGCATTTTGAACAGGATTAGATGTTTCTCTAATTCTTGAAGGGGTAGGTTTTTCTAATACCTCAAGAAAGACAATAAGCCAGAGTTACTCGCATGGTTGCAGCTGAATAATTGATGCTGTGAAAGCTTCCAATTTTTCTTAAAGTTGTGATTGTGCCATTATGCCAAGTATAAAGTGTATCAAACATGTTAACATTCTAAATTTAGTAAGTAGAGTTAACCGGTGCTAACAGCACCGCACGAAAGCATGGACTTTCGTGAAAAGTGACAGACCATAGAGAGGAGAGAGAAGCATTGCTGCTTGGTGGCCAGTCTCCCAATATGCAATTGACATGGGAGAGGGTGTTTGAAAGGAATTGGAAAATCAGGATTCCTAAAAGAAGGAAAGACATAGACACATTTCTCTGTTAGATATTGGCTTGGAAAGGGACTTGTTGCACAACTGAAGCTGAGTAGAAGAGAAGTAATTTTAGAGAGGCCAGGACAACAGGAAAGTGCCCTCTCCATCCGTCATTTAGTCTGACAATAATGGAGACTGTCATTCTGTGCCGTGGGTGGTGGTAAGTTGAATGATTTTGTTAGTATGAACCTGGTTGCAACAAAAAGAATGCAAGCGGTAAACTTCTTCCAGAGGCCCACCATTAGGAAGATAGCTGTCCTACTTAACTTGACATCACCTGGAGTCTTCTGAGAGAAAAGCTCTGATTGAAATATTGCCTAAACCCAACAGGCCTGTGTGCGTATCTGTAGAGGATTATCTTATCAATTTTCAAGGAGGGGCCAGCCCACTGTAGGCAACTATCCCTAAACAGGTGCTTCTGGGCTGCATAAAAAAACCAAGCATGCACCTGCCAGCAACATTCTGTCATGGTTTTTGCTTCAGACCCTGCCCTGACTTTCTCAGTGGTGGACTGAGTAAGCTCTGGAAATGTAAGCCAAATAAGACTTCCTCCCCAGGCTGCTTTTCAGCAGGGTGTATTATCCCAGCAATAGGATGAGACTACTTAATCAGAGCCCATGCTGCCTCCATCAAAGAGGCATCCTCAGAGACAGAGAGAGCTTTTGACACTCAGTATCAGTATATATATAGTTAGTTAGTAAATACTGCATCCTCACCTAGTGAAGGGTAAATGTTTTCTCTCCCTTCTCCCACAAACAAAGAGCACTAGGCTTAGAGAATTGGGTATCTGAAAGCTAAATTTCTCCCACACAGCTTCCAAGTTCTTGTACTGAGTAGGTGGAGGTAGAGGGTCAGGAGACCTTCCAATTGAGCTGTGAGTGAAGCTTCAAAGTTAACAAAACAGACCTTGTGTCCAAGAAGTTAATTTACTGAAAATCTTAGGTTCTATATAAAAATCCATAAAAGAGTCATAGAGAAAAAGTGAATATTCAATTTGATTGATACTTGGTATAATAATATCCTGGTATTATGGAAAGTGGAAGGAAAATTTTCTTGTTTACATTCTCAACGGGTCAAAACATTTTTAGTAAAACAGACAAATACTTAAAAATATGTATACTGTTAGGAGAAGAACAGAGGAGATCAAGAAAAGAGAAACCATATAGAAGAAGCCATTATAGGTTTAAAGAGAAATAGGGAAATGTCCAGAGATCTATAAGGATGACCCCAACTAAGAATCTAAGCAATAGTGGAGAGGCTGCCTTAAATGCCCTTCTCCAATAATGAGATTGATGACTACCTTATATGCCATCCTAGAGCCTTCATTCAGTAGCTGATGGAAGCAGAAACAGACACCCACAGCTAACCACTGAGCTGAACTCTGGAATGCAGTTGCAGAGAGGGAGGAGTGATGAGCAAAGGGGTCAAGACCAGGCTGGAGAGACCCACAGAAACAGCTGACCTGAACAAGGGGGAGCTCATGGAGCCCACACTGATAGCTGGGAAACCAGCATAGACTGACCCAGGCCCCCTGAACATGGATGTCAGTTTGGAGGTCTAGGCAATCTATGGGGTCTCTGGACATGAATGGACTATGGGAGCGCATTACACACAGAGGGATACTCTTTCAGCCTAGACAACATGGGGGAGGTCCTAGGCCCTGCTTCAAATAATATAACAGACTTTGAAGATCTCCCATGGAAGGCCTCACCCTCCCTGGGGAGTAGAAAGGGGATGGGATAGGGCATCAATGGGAGGCAGGGGGAAGGAGAGGGAGAGGGAACTGGAATTGAAGTGTAAAACAAGCTTGTTTCTAATTTAAATTAAAAAAAGAGAAATCCATATCCCAGATTTTAATTCTCAAGAGAAAGTCAGAGTGTGGGAATTATATGATCCTTATAAATGTTTTAATATTCCTCTGCCTCAGTTTTATATATAATAAATACTTATTAGCTATAATAAATACAGAATAGCAATTCACCATAGTAACATGAAGTGTTTTTTTTTAGTGTTTCCTGGGAAAAAGTCAGATAACTAATGCTCACCCCCCCAAAAAAAAGAGAAAATATGTATACTAGAACTGCATATTTCATTTGGAATATGCTTCCAAAGCTCAGGTTTTTAGTTCACATACACAGATTTGTGAAGTTTGAAATTTTCCTCTGCTATCTTTATAATTTTAGCATTGGCTGAAGCATCTAACAGAATTTATATCATTTACTTGGGTTTAAAAATGTAATACATTTTCATTCAGAAATGTAAATATAAAACTTATATTTTGTTGTATTGCATTGATTTATAGTGTGTGTGCAGGGGTGTGTGCCATGGTATGCATTTAGGAATTGGTTCTCTCTTTGCAACTTGTGGGTCCTGGAGATGAAACTCAGGTCAGCAGGCTTGGTAGTGGCAGGAGGTGCATTTACCAGCTGAGCCAACTTGCTGGCCCAAATCCCGTGTGTCACAGTGTAATGTAAGGGCTGCTAAGATGGCTCAGCTGGGAAAGGTGCTTGCCACCAAGCCTAGTGACCTGAACACGATCCCCTGAACACATGTGGAAGGAGAGAGTCAACTTCCTCAAGGTCCTCCTCTGACATGCAGGGGCTGACACAACAAATGATTTAAGAATTATTAAATTTAAGATTTAATCTGAGTATTCTATTTGACTTGGTGCGATAATATCTAACACATATGAAGTCAGACCAACCTTACATTACCATGAAGTGGAGCATAAAGAACTATTTTGTTTGTTTTATTGGTTAATGAATAAAGCAAGCGATTGCTTTCCAACTTCAGATCTGGATATAACAATTGGACCATTCTTTTGTATGATGAACAACATGAGTGCATACAAATTCCCAGTGCATTCATGCTCACAAATTTGTACTATGTACCAGGCACTTATGCAAACAAAGGAAAATAAGGCTATATGGAAGGTGAATAAGAGTCTTGTTTGTGGAGAATATAAACAATCAACAAATATTTAACACAATATTCAGCAAAAAGAAGAAATGAGAAGTGAGCGAGGGAGTGTCGAGGAGGTGCTTTTGTAGATATTACAGCAGGAAGGATAATTCTGAGGAGGTAGCATTTTAGCTAAAGATCTAAGAGAATCAAGTGCATGCTGATACACATAAAGCTTAGATGTCAGGTGAGTAATTTGGTGTCCCTTAATATTAACACAGCCAATTTTGACTTTACAAAAATAACACAAATATAATATGCATTAATATCTCCATAGAAGCTTTTTGGTTATTTGTAGTCTCATTCATTCAACAGATTCCTATATTGCAGGCTTTATTCTAGGCTCTTGCCATATAACACTGAATAAAATACACAAATCCTTGGCCATGAGGAGATTACAGTCCAAGGAAATAGAGATGATAAAATATATACTGTATTATGCTGTAACTTGTTTTATAGAGGCAAAAGTAAACTTCAAAACTGTCCTAGTTGGGTTTCTTTTGCTGTGATAAATACCATAACCAAAAGTTACTTGGAGAAAAAGGATTTATTTCAGCTTACAATTGTAGTCCATCATGAAGGTATGTCAAGGCAAGGAACCTGGAGGCAGGAACAGAAGGGGACACCACGAAATGCTTTTTACTGGCTTTTGCTCATGGCATGCTCAACCTGCTTTCTCATACAATCCAGGACCAAATGACCAGGGGTAGCATCATCCACAGTGGGATGTCACCCCACACATATCAACCAAGAAAATGCCCTACAGACTTGCCTGCAGTCCAGTTAAATGGAGGTATTTTCTCTGTTGTGGTCCCCACTTCTAGCTTATGTCAAATTGACATAAAAACTAGCCAGCACACAGGCAAAAAAGATTTTTACTACTAAGAGCATTCACCTGAACAGTAAGGAAGTTAGTGCTTCCCATAAGGAAACGGGCATATTGGATATGTGGACAGGTGTATTTTTAAAATGTTTATTTGTGTATGTGCACACGTGCATGCCCTAGTGTACATGTATATACACCATGTGTGTACAAGAGCCCACAGAGGTCAAAGTGGGTGTATATATAATTTAAAGTGATTATTTCTACCACGAGACCATAAATGCATCTTAAAAGGCATCATATTTAACATTGTTGAGCAGTGTTTGCTATACTTGAATGTTTAAGTCACACAGTCAACATAACATATGCTTATTAAAAAATAAAGTAATGGGAGTTGGAGAGATTCCTCAAGGGTTAAGTAAGCTTACTGCTTACTGTAGAGGACCTGGGATCTGTTTCCAGCACCCATGTGGCAGCTCAGAAGTGCCTGGAACACCTGTTTCAAGGGATCTAATACTCTTGTGTGGCCCCTCCAGGTTCCTGCATGCAGGAAGTACAGGCACAGAGACACATAAAAATAGTTTTTAAGTGATACTCATTGTTATCATTATTGTTGCTTAAGTCAAGATCTCTACTCTTGCTCAGGCTAGCCTGGAACTGGTCATGTGTCCGGCTTCCTCAAAAACACAAGTCTTCTGCCTCAGCTCCCTAAGAGCTCAGTTATAGTCATGAGACACTATGCCCGGCAGTAATGCTATTCTTAAAGTTACATTAAATAATAAATTGAGATTAGTTGGGGGAAAGCAGCACATTATTTCATGTTATAAATTGCAAGGCTTACAAATGTGTTTTATTGATTCAAATGAACTTTTATAAGTTTGACAAAATTAGGGTTATTCTCTTGTTTTTGGCTTCATTCCATGTCTTCCACATATTGCTAACTTTATCAAAATTTGTATGCAGGCAACTCTTACTAATATACATATCACATTTGTTGCTCTGGGGAGTTAAGTAAAAGTCTTCTAATTTCTATAAATTTTTCACATGTTAATTTTTATTTATATGTGTGCAAGTGCCTGGGTATCTGTATGTGCATCCTCTTCTTGGGTACCACGGGGGCCAGAAGAAGGCATTGCATACCTTGGAACTGGAGTGATGGTTGTGAGTTGTCGTTTGGGTGCCAGGAACTGTTCAAGAGCAGCCTGTATTCTTAACCACTGAGCCATCTCTCCAGCCCCCCAAATACTAATCATTGAAAAGAATGACTTTTAAATAACAACGCATAAAATCACAACTGTATACATAGAAATTATAGCTATTATTCCCTTTCCATTTCTAATGACTTTCTAAGTTTTAAATCCATGTAGAATAGGTAAAATTCTCTCTCTCTCTCTCTCTCTCTCTCTCTCTCTCTCTCTCTCTCTCTCTCTCTCTCTCTCTCTCTCTGTGTGTGTGTGTGTGTGTGTGTGTGTCTGTGTGTACGCACAGTATACCATACAAAGATATGCTCTACTCAAACTGAAGTATTTTTGTGTTTGAGTTGTATTTTGTATGCCTTCTTGATGGAGAAAACATGTGTCTTTTTATTTTTCTTTCTTTGTCTGTGGTGGTTAGGGTTCTATTACTTGGAACCCTGAGTGGCAGCTACCAGTTTTTAGATACAAAGTTGATCAGGTAAGAATGAGGTTCAAGGCCAAGTTGTTTTGTTTTTATACCTACTAAGTTTAGTGATTCAAAAGAAAAGCTTATAGACTTCCTCTTAGTTTCCCCTTATAGTCTACACAATGTAAGGTGAACAGTAGAAACATTAAAATATTACTATAGTATTTTAAAATCAGCCATAACAGCACTACTATTTGATAGATTTAAATTTTGAATGCCATAACTTTCCTTGGTTCTACCCAATCCATAAACGACACTAAACATGTAAGATTCAGCTACAGCCGTTATATCCTTAAAAGTCATAAACCTGTGAGTTAATCTTGGGTGACTTCCCCACTTAGACCCCACATCCCTAATGATTACCCTGCAATAGTACTACAAATCCCAACTGTTGGGAGGGGGGTAGAGGTCATCTTAGAGAAATAGGGCACTGCACATGTTACTAAAGCCAGGGGATTCTATTTGCAAAGTATTGTATAAAGTCAGAGTAGAATTAACCAGAGTCAAGCTGCTGAGCAGTAGACAGTGTTCATTCTGTCTCTTCTGGTTAGAGCCATAATCAAACCATGAGTGTTGGGCAGAGCTAAAGCTTCATTGAACATTGGTTTACAGATGTAGATGGGAAGACATTGAGCCGTTCCTACCAATGTCCAGCTTCCCTGAGTGGTCTGCCGCTGTGTTGCTTATCACTCCCTCAGTATACTCTCCATGAAAACTCACTGGTTCTGTACATGATCTTCCTAGTCAATCATCACTGGTTTAAAAAGATCGCCAGGTTGAATGGATACTGCAATGTGAGCAGGCACAGAGAGACCTATGCTACTCCACAGCTTGTGTGTTCATGAGATGGATCCACTGTCTAAGAGGAGTAAGGCTACAATAATCCCAAAGGTTTGTGACCTTAACTTCCAGAGCTGCTCATTTTGTCTCTTATAAGTGTTATTCCAGTTCTTACTGAGGTTTTAAGGTTTCGAATTCAAAAATTACTAGCCTGTATTCTTAAATTTTTATTGGTATGCTAAAAATTCAGAAATCATCATCTGTTAAGTCCTAATTGTTAATAAACAACAAATACAAGTTTAGGATTCCTGAGGAGAAAAAGTCATTTCAGTTCTATTTAAGGAATGAGATTTTAATAGCTGGTGTAAGGGTTTATTTTCTGTAAGTCGGGTATCAGTTTGAACTTGTCATGGTTTCGATTGAACATTTTTTGGCCTCATTAACAAAAATTATGTTCTAATGAAGGAACTCTAGTGTTATAGCAAAGAATTGCTTTATTAACCTTAGTAATCATTAGGTGACTAAAAAAAGTAATACTACAATTTACATTTGTCATACAAGCTTATAACTTTAGAACTAATAGGTTCAGCAGTTAAATTGCAATGTGCTTAGCCAAGCTTGTATAGTTAACATATTTTTATAATGTGGAAAGTGGAATTTGACTAGAAACCTTTCAATCCAATCTATTGTAACAGACTAATAGCCCTTTCTTTAAAAAATCTGTAACAGTTCAGGAAGCTGAATACAGTTACAAGATCCAGATAGCCTCTGTTAGCAGGCAAAGGAGAAGCGGGTGCTGAACCTAGGCAGCATTGCTCACAGTGGATTCCTGAGAAGTCAGTGGTTGGCTTTACATTTCAAAGCACAGATAAACCTTAAAAATGTGGGGGAGGAAGAAAGTCACAGACAAATTAATGGTTTGAATATTTAGTCCAGCTATGTAATTAACTAATGGATTTCATTAATAAATAGGTAATGCAAACATCTCTATATTATAAATATAGAATGCTCTTTAATACTTCAAAACAATGAGAGGAAAGTCCTCTCTGCTAGGACGACTGACTAGAAACCTAAGGAAAAAGAAGTGGGAGTCATTGAGTAGCTGTTGAAACTCCTGTATCCTGTTCCAAGATGCAAGAACAGCCCTGTGTGCTTGGGACCTGGCACACAGACATTATTTGAGGATCCCTGCCTGTTTTAAGTGCTGAATTTGAGCTAGAGAGAAGAAACTAGAAGACAGAACCACCACTGTAACCCAACATCTTAAAGCGACTTTTCAGCAGTAGCTTTTCTTCTTTCAGTGCTGGGGGTAAAGGGATAATGCTCATGGCCCTGTGCATGCTAGGCAAGTGTTCTGTCGCTGAGCTACGTCCACACCTCTTAGCTGTAACTGTAGAAAGGGATGCTCTGCATCCAGTGTGTAGTGATTGAATGTAAAGATACCCAGACTATAAACATAGACCATTTCAAGTCCCTGTTGAGGAATGAATAATCATATATTTCAGAATTTGTTTTCTGTTCTTAATAGATGTATTAGTAGGAACAGATGACCAGTAGCAAGACCTTGCTATTTTAACATTCTGCATCGCTCATGGCCATGGGGCACCTGAGTGTTCATACCCATCTGTGCATCAGGCATTTTGCCCATTGTTTTGATCTATGCCAATTTCAAAGGTCACATGTAAATCAAAATGCGAAATATGTATTCTTTGAGGTATAAATAATATATTTTGTAATTTCTTTGAATTATGTTTGTAGAAAGACCTTTGTTAACTTAAAATAACTTCTTTAAGTGTGTATAGAAAGCAAAATACTAGTAAACTCCTTAAGTTTACTGACAGTCAATTTGTTCAACAAGCTGTTAAAATTAAAAAAATACTATACATAAGACATCCTTGAAAATAATTTAATACATTATTTGAGGGGGAGAAAGTAGCATTTGGCACCTACTGAGAATGAAATGCTTTTACACAGTTTGTATTTGTAATTCTCACAGTAGTATAAAATTTGTACCATCCTTTGCTAAGAAATAATAAGAAAAGTCACTTACCAGTACCTTATATACACAGTGGCCAACATTATTTGAAGCCCATGCTGTTTTAACACTACCATACCACATAAGTAGTTGGAATCCAAACACTAGGGCAAGTTGGGGCACTTGTAACAGTGAATGCAGTGGTTTGTAGAAATTTAAAACTTCAAAAACTAGAAGATTGCCATTCTGTAGTGGAAAGCCCCTCACCCATGTGCATAAGGGCAGCATTAACTGGGTTTAGTAGGTTATCAGAAAACAGAAAAGAAACATGAGGTTTAAATATTATAATTGCTTTGTTTTGCTCATGTGTTGGTTATAATAAAAACATGGTTTAAAAATGGAGGAAGACATTCTGGAGCCTTGACCTCCTTTGTCACTTTACATTTCTTCCATTCAAAATTAATGAATTGGTTCTCTCATATATTTTTACATCTTCAAGTAGACAGCAGATTCTGTTGCTTCCTGCCTTTGTGGAGGGACAATCAAGTAAATGAAAATTATCCATGTGTTACCAAGAAAACTTATTTTCTTAATATCTGATTAGAATAATTGTAAGATTACATGTTTAAGGAATACTTTAAACATACTGGCAAAAGTTTCTTTTTCCCCATTTTTTGAGATGGGGTTTCTATGTGTAACAGCCTTGGGTTTTCTGTAACTGACCTCAAACTCACACCTCCCTATTCCTAAATCACGTCCATCTAGACCTTGCAATGTCATCTTATTGAAAAGGAGTTCTTTGTAGGTGTAATAAAGTAAGTCCAGGTTATAGTGGCTATATAGTCCTAATTTGGTAACGGGTACCCTTATGAAAACGGAGAGCCATGGTTCCACAGTGAAGGAACTGTGAAAATGGAGGTATAAACTAGATTGATGACCCCTAAGCCATGGATCAGCAAGCATTGCCAGCAACCACCCGAAGCCAGAAGAGGTAGAGGACTCTTCTCTGGAGCTTCTGGAGGGACCTCACGCTGCTAACGTTGCTTTTGAGTTGTGGCCTACACACCTGTGAAAGAGTATTTGATTTAAACCACCACCGGTGTGTTAACTGTCACAACAGCTCCAGGAAACAGATCTTCTGCTTTTTAGGTTAAGAACAGGTGTCCCTATCCAAGGTGGTGGGTTTTTGTTTGTTTGTTTGTTGTGACAGTCTCATGTTTTTATGATGCCCATGGATTCTCTTTGTAGCCAAGAAGAATCTTGCACTTGGAGTCCTCCTGCCACCCCACTCCCTAGTGTTGAAATGACAGGCATGTACCACCATGCCCTGCCTGGCTTATGTGGTGCTGGTGAGTAAATCAGAGCATTGTGCATGCTGGACAAGCGCCTGCCAGTTTAGCTACATCCAGCCCCAGATCATTCAGTCATTCATTTACTCACTTGTATTTGTAGTGCTGGGATATAACCCAGGGCTTTGTGTAGGGGCTAAGCGAGTGTACTCTCACTGAGCTTCATCCCTGCCCCTAGTTATACTTTAAAATCAAGACATGAATAATAAAAACGACTTGTCTAAGATGAAAATCTCATCAGAGAGCAAACACATTGGCGGCATGTCAGCCCCTTGGTAAATGCTATATAAACTTTTTAACTGCCTGGTTGTGGTCATCTGAATTAGAAATATCCCCAGGGTCTTGGACATTTGAACATTTGTTCCCCAATTGTTGGTGCTGTTTGGGGAGGCTTAGGAGGTATGGCCTTGCTAGAGGAAGTGTGTGTCACTGGGGTGGGTTTTGAGAATAAAACTTTCCTGCCTCTTTCACTTTGGTCTGCTGTGTATAGAGATGTGAACTCTTTCTGGGCATTATGGTGCGAGCCTTTGATCTCAGCACTCAGGAGGCAAAGACGGGGAATCTCTGCTGGTTCCAGGCCATTCAGATACACAGTGAGACCCTGTCTCAAAAACATAAGAATAATAGAAGATATGAGATCTCAGCGTCCTGCTCCAGTTGACATGCCTGCCTGCTGTCTTCACCCTGCCGTTGAGGACTCCAGCCCTCTGCAGCCATAAGCCAGACAAATTTTCTATATTTTGCCTTGGTCATGGAGTTTCATCACAGAAAGAGCAAAGTAATGCTCTAGTTCTAAGGTCACAATATTTTCACTTTCTCCAAGCCCTTTGCAAATCTTATATGAAGTAAATATTAAACAGAAATTATAGAAATTGAGCAGGGTCACATGCCTAGTGTCAGACCCTGTATTCAAATTTAGACAATCTAGTTTCAAGAACCTATAATTTTTTCTCATCTTAAGACAGTTCCACTGGAAAGTTCAGGCTATCTCCAAATCATCATCCTCCCATCTCAGCCTCTCCAGTGCTGGGCTGACGGGTGTGAGCTGCCATGCCAATTAGGAACATGAACTTTTAGCCACCAGACCAGGAACAGTACAGGCTCATAGTGCCCACAGACTTCCTGTGTGACTCTACTGATAGCCTGCTGAAGCCAGTCCTACGTGTAAAATATAACTCATTGCTCTTATCTCTAGATGTCCACTCCTTTATGCCAACAGTAACATGGATAATGTAATTGCTGCTGGGTTTCAAGCTCTACAAGTGCAGACTCTTGATCTAAGCAGCAGCCCCATGGAAGAGATTTGGTTTCCAGTGTATAATAAGACTAAAAAGTGTTGGCAATGGAGTTGACCACATCTGTCTGACTTGAAAAGTTTTCACTTTCTAAAGAAGTTCTCTCTCCCTCCCACTCTCTTTCCCGTGTGTGTGTGTGTGTGTGTGTGTGTGTGTGTGTGTGTGCGCGCGCGCGCACGTGCATGCATGCATGCATACATGCATATGCCTCCTGGTGCAGAGACCAGAAGGGGATGTTAGGTATACTCCATCACTCTTTACTTGTTCCCTTGAGACATGTTCTTTCCCTGAACCTGGGGCTCAGTTTTTCCAGCTTCCTGGAGGCCAGCAAGCACTACATCCAGTCACCCCACCCCCAAAGCCTTCCTAGTGTTGGAGTTACAGGCAGTTGGCTTTCTAAGTGAGTGGGAGGGATCCACACTCAGGTTCCAGGCAGCACTCTAAATCTACTGTACCTTCTCCTGTTTCTTGTTGCGGAGGGCTTGGTTTTGTTGAGACAAATCTCATTCTGTAGCCCAAGTGTACTGGTATGAGGAAGTCACGTGTGAAGTGTACAACACTAGATTAATAGATTCTGAAACATTTTGCACCTGTGTAATAATCACCCAGAACATTTTCATGTGGAAAGTTTTCTCTCATGTCCTCCCAGTCTGGAATCCACTCCCCCTCCCCATGCACCTCCTACCATGGGTGTCTTTGCTTACTTTTGAACTAACAGAATCATGTAGTGTGTATCCTTGGTGTTTTGTTGCTTTTCAAAGCCCTCACTATTAGTGATCTTATAATTCTTCCAACAGAACTGCCAAGCTCTTAGTCCTATTCTGTCAACCTTTTACTAAATAACTGTGCTGATACAAATAAACTAATTTTTACTAAAATATTAGTGTGTAAATGGTCTTTTTATCCCAAAAACGTATTTCATAGTTTATATGAACTCTAGAAAAATAGGTGACCCCTTGATTTTAGTATCTTCAGTTATTTTTGGAAGGAAAATAAATTGTTAAACATGATTTTTATTCCCTTTTTCAATTTTTGTTGCCATAAAATAATTTCTTTATGGTATTTTCATAAGTACATCAGTAATATTTTGTCTGTATTCATTCCCCTCCAATAACTTCCTCCTTATTCCTCTGTTTCTCTCTCCAAATAATCTTCTTTTCTGTGTCACTGTCATGAATTCTGTTACCCACTCTTTCTTCCACCATTGCTCTGAATAAATACTAGATATTGTATTTCTATGATATGTTGGTTAGGTTTATTCGTAGGCCACTGTGGATGGAACCTATGTAGATCAGGCTGATCTTGAACTCACAGACGTCCTCTTGCCATTCTGACTTCAGTGAGATAGAATCTCAAGATTACTTTTAATTTGCGTTAAAAGTAATGGCTAAGGATGTTAAACACTTTTTCAAGTACTGGTCATTTGTGTTGCTTCTTTTGAGAAATGTCTGTTTACTTATTGATTGGGAGATGTATTTCTGTGAGTATTTATTTTTGCAGTTCTTTATATTCCAGATGTTAACTTCCCAGTGTATAGTTGGCAAAGACATATTTTCATTCTATGGGCTCTCTTCACTCAGGTGATTGTTTCCTTAGGAGGCTTTGATATCATATAATTCTATTTATCAATTCTAAGTGTCAGTCCATGCACAATTAAATTTCTTTGTTGGAAGCCCTTGTGTATGTCTATCTTATGAAGTCAGGCTTTTCTTCTGTATGACTTCTACCAGTCTCAAGGTTTCAGATGGTATTTGATTCATTTTCAAATGATTTTCGTACAGGTTGAGAGAGATGGATCTATTTTCATTTTTCTATGTGTGAATACCCAATTTTCCCTGCACCATTTGTTGAAATGTCTGTTTTCTATGCTTCTTTTGGGTACCTTTCTCAAAAACTGGGTGGCTGTAGCAGCGTGTGTTTATTTTGGGGTCTTTTGTCTATTCCATTGCATTGCGTCTCATTCCGTGCCAGTACCATACTATCTTTGTCACTATGACTCTGTGGTAGTTTGAAATCAGATGTAGTGATACCTCCAGCATTGTTCTTTCTGCTTAGAACTACCTTGTCTATTTGGGATTTTTTGCTTCCATATGATCTTTAGGATTTTATTATGTAGTTCTGTGAATAATGCCATTGGAATTTTGATTGGAGATTGCCTAGAATCTATGGATCACTTTTAGTAAAAAAATCACCATTTGCTTTTTACAGTTTTATTTTTATGGACTGTAGCTTTTGGTGGGGGATACGTGTGCCACCATACATGTATGGAGGCCAGATGAGAACTTAGTGGAGTCATTCCTCTCCTTCCATCTTTACAAGGGCTTTAAGGTCACACTTGGTTGCCAGGTTTCTGAGTCAAGCACCTTCGCATCTCACCAGGCTAATATAGCCATTCTAGCTATTAATCCTGCTAACACATGAGTATGAGGTGTCTTTCCATCTTTTAATGTCTTCATTTATTTCTTCAGTGACTTAAAGTTTTCATTGTAAATGTTCACCTCTTTGGTGTGGTTTATTCCTGGGTGCTTTATTATTCATTTCTAGGCTGTTCAGAGTGGGATTTTTTCCTAATTTCTTTCTCAGCAAGTTCATTATTGTTATATAAAAAGCTGCTGTGTGTAAAGCTACCAACAGTTCACTTGGCCAGTTCTCCCAATGGTCAGCTGTATATACAACCAATGTCACTCATTCAGGAAATGATCATGGGGCAGCTTCTTCATTGTAATGTGTAGCTACTTTAGTAATGTCAGCTGCATTTCTACAGTAGGGAGCTTCGCAGTATCACTGTACAACCATCTGATTGTGTCTGCTGAACTACATTGAAAATGGGGGAGTTTTTAAAGGTCTGATCCAGACCCACTGAATGTGAGAGTCAATGAGGAGGCCTGGGCAACCTATGGGGGCCTGAGCAGTGGATCAGTGTTTATCCCTGGAATACAAACAGACATCTTGTGTCCATAACACAAAGAGGGATGCTCTCTCAGTCTGGACTCTTAGGGGAGTGCCTGCACCCTGCCCTGAGTGAAATGACAGACTCTGGATATCCCCTATGTGGAAGGAAATGGCGATAGGGTGGGAGGCTGGGGGGAATGGCGGAGGGAGTGTGGGAGGAGGGGAGGGAAAGGGAACTGGGATTGACATGTGAAACAAGCTATTTAGGATTAAAAATAATAAAAAAGGTTAGTAATTTTAAAAAAAGCTGCTGTGTGTATTACATGTTACTTTGAGTCTTGCTATTTTGATGAAAGTGTTTATCAGCTCTAAGAAGTTTTCTAGTGGAGACTGAAGTCTTCTATGTATTTTTTTTATATTTTGTCTTATGTATAGACATTTTGCCTGCACGTATGTCTGTGCACCATGGGCATTCCTGGGGTCCGTAGAGGCCAGAAGAGGGTGTCAATCCTCTAGAACTGGAGTTGCTGACAATTGTAAGCACCATTGGGGACTAGAAATCAAACCTGGGTCCTCTGGAAGAGCAGCAAGTGCTCTTAACTGATGAACCATCTCTCTAGTCCATTAAGGCCTTTTAAATACAGGATTATGTCATCTGAAGATAAATATAATTTAACTTCTTCCTTTCCTATTTGTATCATTTCTATTTCTATTTCTTTTTTACTATCTATAAACTATCCTTTCTTCTAAATTCTCTCAATCTTTTTATATAAAAACTCAAGTATTTTATAATGATATTTTGGATTTCTTTGGAAATTAATGGAACACACACACATCCTTTTTAGGGGAGAGGGTTTGAGACAGGGTTTCTTTGTGTAGTCCTAGCTGCTCAGGAATTCCCTCTGTAGATCAGGATAGCATTGAACTCACAGATCCAACTGCCTCTATCCCCCCACACCACCCCCTAGCCAAACATCTCCCTTTTTATGTGTAGCCTCATTTCATGCCACTAGTGACATACTTGTAACTAGCTACATTTCCCTGCCTGTCCTACCTTTTGATAATACCATCGTACCTTGCATCCATTAGGAGATTAATCCATTCCTTAGGTCAGAGACCTCATGATCCAATTGTCTCTTGAAATATCCTCACAAACACATTCATAGATGTGCTTTCTAACCTCAGGAGTTACTTAATCCAACTAAACTTGTGACAGAACTCTCACAAGTGTTAATCCCATTCATAAGGGCAGACCCCTCGGGACTTATTCATCTCTATACTTCTCTGTTAAAGCTGTGGCAATAAGAATTTTCATCATGAATTTGGAGTATACACAATATTCAAACATAAGCAGTATTTATATACTATAAATATTGTATATATAATGCAATTAAAATACTGCAGAGGAAATCTGAAATTTTAAATGATCAGCATGATAGAGAAAAAAATGAGCATTGATATTTACTGTCTCAAAGACCTGTTAGCCAATAAGCTTCACTCAAATTACTCCAAGCTTTATGAATCAACTTAATATAGAAATGAAAACTTTGCATGGCTAGTGTCAAGATCAAATATCAAACAAGGTTATTTATGTGTTTTATATAAAGGTTCATGTAGTTGAGACCAGAAAAAGGTGTTGGGTCTCCTGTAACTGCAGTCACAGATGGTTGTGAGCACCATGTGGGTGCTGGGAATCAAACATGGGTCCTCTGAGAAAACAGCAAGTACTCTAAACAGCTGAACCGTTTCTTACTAACCTATAACCTGGTGGAAGGGGGTTCAAGGCAGGTACTAATAAAATGCTTAACTCTACTTTAAAGTGTCACCTACTGGTAAATTAAGTCAAATACTTAACAAATGAAATAAAAATTATGTTGAGAGAGATTAGAATATTTAAATTGTTGAGGACTAATTGTTGAGTTTATAGTTCTTGTCTTGAAAAAACATCAGTTTAAACAACTATCCGAATTTCAAACTACCTTCACAAAGGCAAAATTAAAATCTAGGTCTGAGAGTTCAAGAATGAATACAGCACAGAAGGAAGAAGAAATGTATCGAAAGGATAAGAAGGACACTCATGGACTATGATTTGGATGTCCCTACAAAAGTTGAGTGTTGGAATTTAATTGACTAGTGTAATAGTAGTAAGAGGTAGAATCTGAAATAAGAAAGAACAACAACTTAGTTAGCAAAATGCTTTTCTTACAAGAAGGAAGACCCAAATTTGAGCCCCAGAACCCATGTGAAAATACCAAGTGTGGTGGTGAACAGTTGTAATTCCAACACTGGGGAGGCAGACATAGCTAGATACCTGGAAATCACTGGCCAGCCAGCCAAAACTGCTTGGTGAGTTCCAAGTCGGTGAGAGTCTCTGCCTCAAGCAAAAGGTGGGTGGAACCTGAGAATGGCATTTAAGGTTGCTCTTTTCACATGCATGCATACACATATGCATGCGCACCCACAGATAGGTGTATACACAAGAACATATATAGACACACAAGGGCATTTACAAAGTGATTAGGTCACAAGAGCTCTTTATGAATGATAGTAAGCCTCTTAGAGGTCTCATGTAATGCTCGTCTTGTTTGCCCTTCTGCTTTCTTCCATGTGATGAACACCTTTTCTTGTTTCCAGTGAGTTCAGTAATAGCATGCTGCCTTGGAAGCAAAGAACAACACTAAACGTTACCAGACAACTGAGCTTGATTCTGCCTTGACCGTGGGTTTGCCAACCACTAGAAGTGTGAGAAAATAAATGTTTGTTCTTTATAAAATACTCAGTCTCAGACATTTTGTTATCCTTTCCAAGTTTCAGGCCTGCCCTAATGCAGCCAACTTAGAATTCAGCAACCTAGACTACATACTTGCCCCAGTAGACCTCGTACTGAGCCAATTAACACACATCTAGGCTTCAGGTTAGACCCCATATCCCCAAGACCAACACCTTTCTCTGATGATTCAGACAGCCCTGCTTTCATGCAATTAGG